TCATTTCAAATGCGTACGTAAAGTCATTGACTGATCTACGGTTCTGTGTTGACTTCAACTACCAGTACGTGTGGTCGTTCACACGTCGCACATTCATTCAAGATGTTCAGTCCGAGGACGGGGTTGACTATCGCCAGCTCGCTGAAGGTTCTGCCAAACCATTTCGGGAACTGTTTAGTTGCCATTTGACTGACCAGAAATTCAGTATGTTGCTTTCATCCCAAATACTAATACCCCTCCCCCCTGTCCTGCATTTGTCTGACGTTACTGTTTATTTGACAGATGTGCTTGCTGTGATTGTTGCTAAACTGCCCCGGGCCTTCATAGTCACCGGTGATGAACAAAAAATTGCATGGGATATTGTTGTTGTTAATGAAGAGTTAGTTGCCTTTTCTAGCCTGTCAGCCGCCTATTATTAGTGAACACATATACTTATTTATCGTGCATCTTTGCTTCAGGTTGACCCTTGTGCCTATGACCATGTGGGAGGAGTTTGTGAATCGCCATGGTGCAGCCATTGAAAGATCTTTGCATGCAGGCGACTGGCCGGTTATGCTCCTTAGCAAGGCCGGTACTAATATTTATCAAGGTAGCCTTCATTCCCATTTGATTTGATATATGCAGATCATGGTTTTTTTTTATGTGTTTTGTTTTGAATACAGGACTGTCATTGGGAACTCGCTATGACTCCCAGATTGAACTCAACCCAGGGGGCGAGCGTGCTCTGTTGCTGAAAAAATGGTATGTCGCTTTTGGGGTAGAATGTCTTGTTTTGTGCAGATAAGGAATGCCCCACACTTCTTGATAACCCCGTGTTTTTGGACTTCTTGGATAACACCAGGGCTGCGGAGAACAAGGGAAAGATCAAGGAATTATTGCTTGCGAAGGAATACGAAAATGCTCTTACCACTATTGCTGACCCTGATTCACAGCCTCGCACGCTTCTTGCGTCCTTGGAAACTGAACTTAATAAGGTCAGTTCATCACATTATGTGATGGAAATCTTTGTTTATTCTATGTGCTACCCTAACTGTGTTGTGCCTCCAGGTTTCAGTCATTTGGGTGTGTGGCAAACTAAATCTTGCTGATACCTCTGGGGAGGCGTACTACATCGGGTGTAATTATTGTAACCGCCGTGTTTATGCGCCAGAGGGCAGCGACTTCCAGTGTATGTTCTGTGGGCAAAAGCATGGGGAAACGGTCAAAAGGTGTGCGCTTCATGCCATAATCCAGTCCACATTATTTTTATCCCTGTTTCTTAACAGCTTGTTTCCCCTGCAGGTTTATACTCAACGCAACCCTCACTGACGCCACTGCCTCCATCCCAGTGACACTATTCACCACGGACGTCTTGAGGGTCTATGCTTATGCCCGTATGGACCCTGAACTGAACTTTGACTTGGAAGAGTTAGATGCAACGTTACAAAAGTTGACTATTATTGCTGGGATCAAGCGCACCAAACCAAATGAAGATGGCCTTCGTTCAAACCCCTACAGCATTGTGTGCGTTTCCCAGGCCAAGGGGTTCGTGAACACTGCGCCTCCGGCTGATCCCACCTCCCTGGGCTTAGGTGAAGACGACTCTGGAACTGGACAAACCAAGAGGAAACTTGCATTCAAATCCCTGGATGAATTGCCTCTGACTCCAACCGCTGCTGCACATGTGCTTCCTTTGCAGGAAGATGATTCTGGTGATGAACGCCCCACACCTCCAGCCCCAGGACAAACCAAAGTTACCCCGCCCAAGCAGAAGCAAACAGTCAGACCACTGCCCACTATGGCCTTGTCTCAACCTGCTGCCTCATCTGCACTGCCTTCTGAGGAACAGGATGAAGAGGATGTTCCCATCACTAACCTGCGCCCTAAAAAACGCAAGAACTGATTACGTTTGGTGAATCGTTGTTACCGTTTGGTTTTTTTGCTGTCCCTGGTTTAATTGCACGTCTTGTGTGCGTGTTGTTGTATATACATGAACATGGTTTTTTACTGGAACTTTAGTCCCTTTTTAGGAATGAGGTACCTCTGGGCATAGTGGGGCCAATGGCTAGGTCACACCCACCTATTTCATTGTCCATCATATGTAGCTACCTTTTTTTTGCAGTTCGTTAGTGATGATACATGATGTACATGATGAAATGCATGCGATTGAATCTCCCTACTTTTGAAGGACCAAGTCCATAACCTGAACGTTGTGTTTTCTTGATGCACATGTGTTGGTTCCATATTGCTGTCTGTGCAGGGAACAACACAGTCTAAATGGAATGCTTCCGGGTGTTGCTTTTGCAGAAGGTGCTTCCGGGTCTACGCAAATTCTGAGAATAAATTCACTCATTAATCATTATATACATTTTTTTTGATGACTTAATGATGTTTAACTGATCATTAACATCCTATAGTGTTGTTATTTGTGATTGCAGTTAAGCTGTGATTACAGTTAACGATGATGGAACTCTGCATGAGGGGGATTATATAAAATAATTAATAGTTCATTCTTTTCTTCTATGTGTAATTATTAATAATTTCGTAGTTTTTTCTCAAATGCAGTGCGATGTAGCCTCAAAGGCAGCTTAATACTAACTAAATCTAACCTTTGCAGGTTGTAAATGGCTTCTTCTGTAATAGAAAACCTGTTTACAATCATGATCAGGAGCCTGCCCATTCAACTGCTCTAATTGTGAGTTATTAGGAACATTATATGATGCTCATGAGTCCAACCTGTTTGCTTTAGAAACCATATTACTTACCTGGGAGGTGTATGCTTTGTTGAGGGGGTTTAGTCATTTACTCTTGTACCCAAATCATTCCTTTGGAAACTGGATTAGACTCATCACTTCATGTTTTTGTAGTAATTATTATTTGGGCTGGTTTCCTCAAATTTCAAATTCATTGCATTGGAAAAACACAAAAAAAATATACTCAAAAAAAAGGGGTGACCATCAGTCCAGATAAATTATTGTTAGCCACAATATATTTTTATTCATATTTACAACTGTACAAATACATCCTGTCGTTTTTTTTTGGGAGTCTAAAATTCATCCTATTGTTTGGTGTTGGGATTATGTCCGTATTACTAACACTCCTTATCCATTCAAACAAAAAAACGTTTTTCTTCCTTTAAATTATTACATTTCTTTATTGCGCCTCTCTTCCAACCAATCGGTGAACTGAACCGGCCCGCTAACCCAAACGCCTTTTGTCCCCCAAAATCGCCCCAACGCATATCCCACTTATACTTCGTTGCTGTGATTATGAACTACGTTCGCTGCCAGTCTTCCGCAAACCAGGTACATCACGCGTGGAACGCCGTTGTTAACAGGTATGTCTCCCCGCCACAGCGCCCTTCCCATTCGTCATTCCACCAAGTTTTCTTTTTTTCCCCCCATGGTCTGGGTTTGTGTTGGTGACAACTTGTTGCCAACATTGATATTGTTTTTGGGTTTTCTGTATAGCTGTGATGGACTTGTTCAGTACCTATACTGTCGAACAAACAAAAGATGCTGGTGGCAATGATGCCTTAACGTACTACATGCACACCGTGCATGGAAGGAGGATCGTCGTGGATGTTGTTGCCCCTTTCAATGGAGCCCAGACTGCTTGTAAGACAAGCAGAGACTGGGTGCTGTTTTTGGAAGCTTCAGGCTACTTCAGGCTGTTGCCCAGGGCATTCAGGAGTAAGGAAGAATTGGAACATAAAATGAAACACTATGTCCATCATGGATTTTACATGCCTCAACTAGCAGGTTACCTTTATTGCCTCGTATGGCACCCAATTGTTGATTCACCTTTGGCGCTTTGTTCATTTAATGAAGTTGTTTTTTGTTGATCCGCTGGTTACACAGTGTGCCGCCAAACACGCTCTGTTCACTTCCCTGATGTGTTACAATTTGCTGTTGTTTGGTTCCGAGATATCTACAGCATCATGTGCCCACCCTCCTGCCCAACCTTGACCTCTTAATATGTTGACAGAGTTTTGCTATGTTTAGATTTTTGCTTTTGCATTTCCTACTTTTGATACTGCTGCTGCGTCAGTAACTATAACCATACGCAGCTGTTTCCCCTCTTTGCTAAGCCAAGACATGGCCATTGTATGCTTAGATACTTGTTTCCTCTTATACTATGAATTGACATTACTCATTTCAAACTCTTAACTTTTACATGGTTGCTTGGTCATTCTGTTTTAACATGTTTTGACCAATTTTCGGCTTGTTTTCAAACATTGGGCACGGATATCGTGCAACGCGCGTTTCCACGCTAGTATATATATATATATATATATATATATATATATATATATATATGTAAAAAAAAGCATTATTAAATTCATGAATCCACTTTTTTATATTCACTTTTTCCAGGAATTAAATGTATAAAAAGCCAATGAAAATTGTGTTAGTCAAATGATAAGTTATTCAATTTGAACATTTTAGTAAGAGAAATTGTCATAAATGAGAGTAAAATTCATACTCCTCCGTCCCAAAATTAACTTCTCACTTTCCTTTTCGGGCAGTCCCGAGATTAACTTCACACTTCAAAACTTTCCTTATTTGGCAAATAATCTACATAAAAAAAGTGTCAAACAGTGCCAAACGGTGACAAACAGTGTCAAACAGCGTTTAAACAATGCAAAACAGTGCACTCCACAATAAAGTCAAATTTATTTTCTTAATCTGTGTGAATTCAAACTGTGAACTTAATTACGGGACGGAGGGAGTACAAAATTTCAAGGTATAAATGTGCTTTTCCATAAATAGAAGTAGTTAATACTTAGTACTATCGTAACACATACTTCGTAGTACGTATATTTTAAAATTCCATGTTATTTTTACTAAAAAAATACGATAGTACATGTTATTTTAAAATTCCGTAGTACGTATATTTTAAAATTCCATGTTATTTTTTTTACTAAAATTCCATGTTTACTCTTGTATAAAATTGGGAGAAACTACAAGTATACGATAGTACATACTACATACACTTCAATTATACGTTAGAGATTAGAGAATAAACGTATCACTCAATTGCTCAACATTCATTTGAAACAAGGCTATGGTGACGCAGGGGAGGGGCTGGTTGAGGCAGGGATTGGGATGTGGTGATGGCGGTCGTGGCGGTTGCCTGAGGTTTTGGCCGGAGGTGTTGGTCCGCGATAATCATTATCATACCAAAGTAACTCTAAATGGTCGAACCCGGTAATAATAATTGGTCAAGTTGGATAACATATCATGTCAAATTGGGTACGTGTAACTGTTAGATTGAGTAATTGTAATTAACCAGTCGGGTAATTGTAACTGATGGATCGGGTAACCGTAATTGACCGGTCAGGTAACTATAACTGGAAGGTCGGATAACTATAACTGGCGGGTCAATTGACCAATTAGGTAATTGTAATTAGTAGTCGGGTGATTGAAACAGGAGAATCGGATAACTGTAACAGCTCGATTCAAATAACTATAAATATATAATCACTTGATCACCGTATGAATCAGCTGAGCTTTAACAAAGGTATAATAGTCCTCCTATTTTTACTCTCACTTTCTAAAAGTGAAAGAAAAAGTCAATTTTGTGTCAATTTTGTGATATTCTGGTCTTATGTCTTAACCCCAAATCAATACTCCGTAATATCTTCAGGAAACAAGGTAGATTTGTTATGAAGAACAATTTCATAGGATTTGCCAGAAGACTCTTCGTGGCAGTACGCCCTTCCCCTCTGGCGCCATACCACCATGGCCTCCGCCTTTACTGCACTCCCGCAGCAACCGCCGCCGCCTCTTCCTCTCCTGCAAACGACAAACTCTTTGTTGCCGGTAATCTCCTTTCTCGCGTTTAATATCTGTAACTTTTTTTCTGGAATTATGTTGTCTGATGAACCAGCGTTCATTGGTGAAGGTTTATCTTGGTCCGTGGACGAGAAGACACTAACAGACGCCTTTTCTGATTTCGGCCAAGTGACGGAAGGTGGGAAAATGTATGAGTTTTATCTGTTCGACGAAATGTCTCACTGACTCTTTCAAGTTTCACCATTAATGGAACTGCATGTTTTCAGCTTTCTACAGCATTTTAATTAGCAGTATATAAATGCGCTCAGTATCAGATCAATTTTTTTGTCTGTAGAATTATATACTCCGGACTAACAAGTGTATGAATTGACTACTAGTGAGGATAATGTATGATAAAGATACTGGCAGATCAAGAGGTTTTGGGTTTGTGTATTTCTCTAAAGAAGAGGAGGCCAAAAATGCTAAAGATGCCATGGATGGGAGGGTATACATTACATTCTGCTTATGATTGAATTTATCCATTTTATTGGTGGTAATTAGCCATTTTTTTGGACTGGAAGTGGCTGTTCTAACTTCTAACTCCTAAACCATATTTGTTCACCCTTTAATCCTCAGGCTTTTCTTGGTCGTCCATTGAGGATTAGCTTTGCGCTTGAAAAGGTTCGCGGTGCTCCTGTTGTTGTCCCTCGGCATAGAAGCACTGTAAATGGTGTTCGGAGGGATCATTGAGATTTTAGCACTGGTCTAGGTAATCCAAGTTTGGTAAAAGAACTGTAAAATTACAAATTTTGAATATACTTCTATAAATATGTTACTCTTGTGGCAAACCGCGGATTTAGATTTTGGGGTTTTTACGTCAATTTGTAGTTGTAAAAACGCCTTTGGTTGGAAACTGCTGTGGTAAAATGACAGGTTTTAACCAGTAATTTTCCTACATTCCAAGGTTAGTCGAATCATGATGAAATCCTAATATTATTACTTTTAGGTCTTTCACTAAATCACTCTTTTGCTTATTCACAGAATAGCTTATATTCTGTGGCATTAAATCATTCATGAGCTTACACATTTTGATCTCGTTGAGCATTTTCGAGAAATGGAAGCAAACAAAAGGAACATTCAGAAGCACGACCACAAATCGATTTCCAGTGGTTCATTCTTAGAACATAAAGAAAGCTCTCCAAACTTTGGAGTGACACAATGGAAATCTGAAAGGGTTTTGTGCTGTTTGTAACCGTTTTTTCAACGTCAGCTATTTAACTTCATCAGTCTATTTTTACTATTTCACAATTTAGCGTGTGAAACCGAAAGATTAGTAAAAAAGATGATTGATAAGCAAGTAAGCAAAAAAAAAAAAAACAGGTTACCATGAAGCCCTAGCGCCGCATTGTCAACACCTTCAACTATACCTTAGCTGCCACAACCCCTATAACCCTAGACACTGATACCACCACCGTGTAACCCTACTTGTCGCCCACTTACTCTGTAACTCTAGCCACCCACCCCACCCTATAACACTAGCTATTCACCCCACTCTATAACCCTAGTCGCTGCTGCACGTGGAAGGCTTAGTCGTCTCATCGTTACTGACAAATAGAAGCATCAAAGTGGAGGGAGTATGTCGTCATCATCATCTTGTATGGTTTACAAAGAACTGTTGTCCCCCGCGATCTAAATTCTTTGTTGCTAATGCCTAATGGAGTATCCATTATGGAGTATCCATTATTGTCGGTTGAGAAGATGACCACACCATCCAAGTGTATCCATCAAAAAGGGGAGCAATGTCAAAGTTGAAGCTGTTGTCGAAGTGTTTGCTTTGAAGAAGAGAGTCATCATCGTAATTGCCTGGTCGATGAATGAAGCACTGGACGTCCATTGTTGATTGGAGAAGAAAGGAGCGTACTAAGGTTGAAACACAGCCAGTGAAGTGTTTTATTTGATGCCACTTGTGACATTTCAAATATTTTTAATAATTTATTTATTTGGATAGCAGTGCCTTAATTTTATGGGAGGTCTATTTGAACACTATAATTATACTAGTTTTTTCACGCGCGTTGCGCGATTACATAAATGCCCAATGTGAGATTTTTATACAAATCATATGCTTAAAATATCAATATATTATGAATGAACAAAATTATGTATCAATGTAGTTTTGTTTTTTTAAAAGAGAATGAATCATTCACACATTCTCTTATATTTTACTTTCCATTTAACATAACTAAGGTAAGACATGTTTTAATGTATTTACAAAATAATTTAAAGGTATTAGGGAGTGTAATTATGTGTTTAATTTCAACGTGATTCAAGAACAACACCTAGTTATTAGAACTCCCCTTTCAACGTAGGTAAAGTGGGTTCTTCCCTTTTGAACTCCATAATTAGGAGTTTCAACTCCATAATGCACAATACAGAAGGAATTGAATAAAAGTCGAGTTAGTTACACTAAAAGGTGTCTTTGTTTTTTGGCTTATCAGACTTATCATCTAACTTTTTAATCAAACACGTAACTTTTGATTTCGCGAGCTGGATTGTGTAATAATAAGAAAATGCAAGGTTGAATTTACTTTTCTGATTGTATTGCCTGAAGTTACTGTAGATGATCATTTCAGCTATTTTTCATATAATATTTTCTTCATTTTATTCATAAAATATATTTTAACTTTTTTTTAATCAGAAATCAGCTGAATCAGTCAATACAGACACTTCAACCTGAACTTCATAAATTTTAGCAGAATAAGTCAATTCAGCCAATTTAAGTGTTACCAAACGGATTCTAAAGTTAAGTGAGCCTTAGAGAAAACATAGAAATAAACTTCATGGCCCTACAAAGTAAAAAGCAATTTCAAAAATCATCTTAAAGTTGTATGATGATCTTTTTTTAATTTTTTTAAAAAATGAAATGATACATATTTCCAAAAAAATATTTACCGATTTGGATCCCAAGTGACATTCTAAAACTTGTACCACTTTTTTATGAGATCCACTCCAAATTTGTTTTAAGATGAACTCGTTTTTAATTTGCAGCACTACTTTGAGAATTTAAAGAGTTGTTATCTAATTCTCTTGAATTGTTTATTTTTTGGAAACAAGAATATAACTTTCTTCCATTATTAGATTGATCGAAGACGTAAAACATTTTTGACCAAATAACTGCTTGAGTACAAACCAAATAATCAAAGGGGGAGGAAAACGATTTGGATTCGTTTCTATTTTGACGGAAAAGCAGAAACGGAAAATGGGGGTGAGAAAGGTCAATGAGTAAAAACGTATGAATAATTATGCATATTGAACAACTTCATATTGCATCTTGATTACACCAACATTTTTCCAATACCTATTACAGCCTTACCTCTATTGGTGTTTGTAATTTTTTAAGATAAGATTAAGATATGAAATATTAAAATAAACTGAAATCAAAAGCGTACTTTAGACTCAAACTCAAAACCCAAACTCTCTCTAGACTCAAAATCCAAGGATCATCTCTCTATGATCAGACATAGGATTAATAACTCCCAAATGAGAAGACCAATTCGATACCATGTGAGGGTTTTGAAAACAAAGATGGCTTTTGGAGCCACAAAGCTCCTGATTGGGGTGTTAGGCACCCTAACAACACAACTAACTTCACTGCATCCCAAATCATTATAAAGAGTAAGTAACTAGAAGGAAATAATCAACTAAGTTATTTTTAGGTACCAAAAAGTAATGGAAAAAGAATACAATGTTTTCCATTGATGGGGGATGGAAAGCCTTTGATGAGTGTAAAAAATGATCAAAAACGTTAAATTTGTGTATATTTAATCCACTTAAAACATTATTCAAGAACTTAAATTCGTGCATGATCTTATGGGTAATTTTAAGAAGACATATATGACTCCTTAACCACTCATTTGGTCCATAGAAGTATGGTGTGGCTCAAAATGTGTGGTTCTTTTTTTTTTTTTGGCAAAAAAGAAACTTATTTATTAATGATAAAAGTAACAAGAGATAAAACAATAGCTTGATGCTACACTAGGATGAGACATAGAATCATATGGTCTCCAGGGACCAAACAAATTCGCTAATCCCGCAACTACGTAGACTAATCTAACAGCACTGCTGAACTTGCTACTCAAAAGGCAATTGAAGGAAAATAAATTGTTCAAACTAGAAAGGAAAGAAATTAAATCAAGAATCCTGGCTTCACCAACCACTAGAAAGAGAGAATTGATTTGACCATTAACCAATAAAGGAAATTCAATCGAGCAGAAATTTTCTGAATCATCAATTTGACCAGCCACCGAAAACGAGATCTAATTGAGCATTTTCTTCTTCACGGAATGAGAGAGTGTTTCAGGTGGATGACAAATAATTAAAGTCTTAGAACAATAAGGTTTAAAAAACTTTGTCAACCATAAACAATAAAAACTTACCAAATCGCTAACACTGATGAGAATTATACAGGCTCTACATTGATGAGAAATACACAGACTCTAGACATTACTAGAAGAATAATATATACGGAGTAACTCATATATAGCGGACAAAACTTTCGCCCAACGGAAAAATCTAACAAAAACCAGCAAAGCAGAAATAAAAAAGTGCTGAAAAATACGTAGTACGGAGTATTTGATTTCGGGTTGGTTTGCAAACGCTTTAAAAAAAGCACTTCTCGGCTTTTGGCTTTAAAAAAGCACTTCTTTTACCAAACACTACAACTTTTATTTTTCTCGGCTTTCGTGTCAAAAGTACTTTTACTTTTTCCATTACACAAAACACTTATTTTACAAAACACTACCAACTTTTACTTTTCAAAATCACTTTTTTCTCAAATACTATCAACTTTTATTTAATCACTTCTCCTCATTTCATTAAAAAAAAGCACTTTTTTAAAAGAAGAAGTTGTTGCATATAAGGAATTCAATTATTGCCTTCCTAGGAAGGAATGGTATAAGGCCGTCCTAGTAAGGAATGGTATAAAGCTTTGGATGGTGAACTAGGCAGAAAAGGCCAGCATTACTCACATAGGAGACAAAGAAGCATTCTAGAGAAAGCAAAGCAATGGAAAATCAAAGCGACATGAATCCGGAAGCGGAAACCCTAATCAAGACATTCTGCGAGATCACTTCTGCTACCAGTCCTGAAGCTCTCTTCTACCTCGAAAGCCACAACTTCGACTTGGACTCCGCAGTTTCCACCTACATCGATTCCAACCAATCAATCCCCTTGGCCGCCGTCGCTCCCGCAACTGACTCCACTGCGGCTAATGCACAGTCTCCTTCCGACTCTCAGCCCTACTCGCCCTCTCAATCCGATGCCTCCTATCCCTCTCGCTCGCGGACCCCTTCTCCAGGTCGTAGCTCCAGACCTTCCGGCGCTTATAATCTCCGGTCTTCCAAACCGAAGATCGCTTCTGATGCTGGCGGCAGTAGTACTGGCAGGAGAAGTGGCAGAATTCATACTTTCTCTGATCTGAATCGTCAAGGCGCTGAAGGATCCGGGAGCGACTCAGACAATCCTCAGGAGTACTACACGGGTGGAGAAAAAAGGTACTCCGTATTATTGTTGCTTATTTTTTTTGATCAAAGTATAATGCTTCTTTCATTGTTTTAAGAAATATATGTTTTGTATTAGCATAGTAGCATTGTCGAGTTGGGGATGCTCGATTAATGGAAGAGTGCAAAAATAGGGATATCCTTTGGAATCGTTGAAAGAAGAATAAACATTACATTTGAATGAAACACTGGGAGATTTGTTGAGTGCAGTGATTTTTTATAATGGACTAATGGAGTACCATTAACTGCTCAGTGGTCAGAGCTTAAATAATGATCAATCTGCATTCTTTGCACGTCAATGTTGAAATATCATTTGAATAAACTGTTAGAGATATTTTCAAAATCAAACGCCCCACGAGAGGTTGAATGGGTTTCAGACTATGGTAAATATACAAATTTATAACTTAAAACAAAACTACTACATTTTTCTAAAAGATATATTTTTATATATCAATGCTTGGTCTTACTCTGTAGCTGGAATAACAGCAATCTACACTTGAGCAAGCCCAATAAGCTGATGCATATGATCAGTCTGCTCATGAAGTAGTACTTCATAAAATATACATCTGGGAATACATTTTTTTAGGATTCATCTGTGCATACTAAGTTTATATACCTTTTTTTTCTATCTTAGTATCTTCTCTCTTTCTCTATCTCTATGTTTGTGATAGAAAGAATAACAAAACATAACTCTCAACTTCTCATTGAACAATTATAGGACCAGTTCTAAATTTTCCAAAAAAGCTACCAAAATAGGACTACATTGTCTCAGAGCCCGACTCTCTGTCCTCCACCCCTTCTCAAGTCCCAACAATCATGGTTAATGCCCAGATCGCCGCCCGAAAAAAGTCCCCACGAGTGACAGGTAGCACATGGGGATGGTGGCGTGTCCCTGGCAGTAACATACTATGCTAGCATATTCAGTTTCTTTTTTTATTTTTTAATTTTGAATATTTAAAAAGTCGTCACTTTTGTCCATGAGCATTATCTTAGTCATATTGAAGGAAAACCCTTATATATTTATAAGTTGTTGGCTCAGTGTTTCTGAGAAAATGCATTCTTTTTCCGTCCATCTTAATTTTTTAATCTGGTATGCTACTCTGAACCCTCAAGTCTTGTAAAATTTCAATAGTTCACTTTGTTAGTTTAATATTTTTGCAGTGGCATGCTTGTCCAAGATCCGTCCAAAATGAATGATGTGGATGCAATATTTGAGCAAGCCAGACAGACTCAACCAGCAGGAAGACCTATTGAAAACCTTTCTCAAAGTTCAAGAAGCTTTGTTGGAACTGCAAGGAGACTCACTGGTGAAATTGTTCCCTCTGCTCCTCAGCGACCAGAAGATGTAATACATACTATTACTTTTTGGAGAAACGGATTCACAGTGGATGATGGACCTCTACGGAGGTTGGATGATCCTGACAATGCACCCTTTTTGGAGGTACTGTCAATTAGTGTACTTTTGGGATTCGAGGGCAAGCATGTTTTTTCGTGATACCTATTAACAGATTGTATTAGAGGCATATGCTGACTATTTTGGATTTTTTCTAATAAATCAACATTCTATTTCAAGAACCACTATACTAGGCTTGGTGTAGCTAACATAATTTTGGATTTGGAATAAATTTATGAGGAGTTGAAAATTAATTCCTTCAATTATTATTTTATTTTTAGATGATCTAACATCAATGTATACTTTGGATTATGATGCAGAGTATAAGGAATTCCGAGTGCCCTATGGAACTTCAGCCATCTGATAGGAAGGCATCTGTTCAAGTTAATCTCACAAGAAAAGAGGAGAACTGCCCTGTATGTTGTCTGTTCTTATTTACCTAAAGTCTCTTTCGAAAGGATTAAAATGGATAACTCTGAATTTACCCAACCAATTGTTTAGGATTTTTTATTTAAATATTAATCATAACCATAAAAGAAATTGCCCTAAATAGTAGGTAAAATAATGTGATAATCCAAAATAGGAGTACTATGTTTTTACTCCTATATAGAAGCAATTATTGCCATGATGCGTAATAATGCCAAAATATGTCATTATGATTTCAATGTGACAAAAATTTACTCCTATATAGAGAAAAACATGGTACTTCAATTTTGGAATTTCATATTGTCTTTGCTCCTATTTTGGAGATTTCCTAAGTATTATTATGCTAATAGTAAAGCTATAAGTTTCTCTTTTGCATTATGAATTATGATCAATCTATAGTACAGCGTTGACTGACGACTGTATTGGCAATGGCTGGTGTTTAGTGAAATTTTGTGTCAAGACAAAAATGGAGTCTACCTTGGCTCTTGGTGCTTGGTGAAAAAGCTAGATGATAAGATTGAGGCTACCATTCAGCCCCTATTTTGTTATCAGCATCACCTTTCACTTATGGTTTTGAGTTCTCTATTTTTAGGTACCAGAGAAGCGGCAGACACCATTTCAGGGTGCAGGAAGAACCCTAGCTAGCAGTACCAATGACAATGTACCAGCACAGTCAGGCGTTACAGCCCCTCCTTTGACCACCGCGCCTGCCCCGATCATGGGGCTAACAGTGGATCAAACACAACCCTCCACTTCAATCCAGCTCAGGCTAGCAGATGGGACTCGCATGGTGTCACGGTTCAACATGCACCACACAGTGAGAGAGATTCGAGGGTTCATTGATGCATCAAGGCCCGGCGCACCAAGAAATTATCAACTGCAGACTGTGGGGTTTCCTCCAAAGCAACTCACTGATCTGGACCAGACGATAGAGCAAGCAGGCTTGGCCAATTCAGTCGTCATACAGAGAGTTTAATCAAGATCATTTGTCCTCATTATTATGTTCGTCTTGTTTAGTTTGGAGCATTTTCTTGCTGGCGTATATTCAATTCTCATCTCAAACTCTTTTATGTTCTAAAAGCAACATTCCATATCTGGTCATCTTGAATGTGATGTTAAAAGTGTTTATGTGGGAAATTGGGAATTTCTCTTCTCAAAGACAGGCTATTCCATTTTCTATTGTGGTGAGAAGGATTATTCATGTGAGAAATGAGATGCACAGTTTAAATTAGGATAAAAAGTATAAATTATTTATAAAAATGTCATTGCACTCTTCAGTTCATGACTATTTTTGTTTCACATAGTGCATAATTCTCAAATTTAATGCACTAGATTTATTTCCATTTTCATTTTAGATCATGTTTTGGTTTAACTTTTGTCTTGACTTTTGATCACAAAAATCATTCTGAAAGACCTAGCAGCCATAGCAAAAATTCTCAAACAATGTTTTTGTTTTTTGTTTTGAGAAGTGTTTTTTATACATGGGAAAGGGGAATTGATTTGATGATTATATGATACGTACTTAATGATGAAAGTAGATGGTGCTTTGAAAGAAATAGATTTTGGAAAAGTTAAAGGCCATGTTTGACAATTAAAAGTTACTAGTAATTAGTGGTTAACAGATTGTGTTAGCAAATTTTTAATAGTGAATTCATTCAGAAGTTTTTACTAGCAAATTAGTTGGCGTATTTTCACTTGTTGAAAAAACTAAAATGATCAAACCGTCATTTTTTAACTGAAACACAATTTACGAAACACACAGAAAGGCCATGTGGAACGAAGTACTTTAGGTGCAATATAAAAAGTGAAAAATAATTTAAAAGGAAATCTTTCTCTACTTCCCGTTTCTAGTTTTAATGTTTTATACAGAGTAAATTCTTGAGCTCAAAGACATGGTTGAGAACAGTACTTTTAGCAGCTATACCTTAAATTAAAATGAAAAGCTTGAAAAGTTCATTGGTTATAAGAAGAGTGAAATGACTCCAACAAGGTACCCAAACATGACTTTAATGATGAACCATGTTTGGAGGAAGAAAAAGATGGTGGTTCGCTAAAGCAACCCAAGCAAGAGGACAGAATGTTGGGAAACGACGCACAGAACGGCTGATCTAACATTCACAAGTTTCATGTTCATTGTTATGACAAGTTATCGGTGCATTGGGGTTCAACTGATATAATAACATCCCATGCACATCACTAATAGCAGTTGTGGTGGCAAATCCCATAATAGACAGCACACAAGCATCTTTTTTTTTTTAAATAACCAATTTAAGTTAGCCCACAGCAAGTAAAGGTAAGGTAAACAAGAGCCTTGGGCTTTTTCAAAAAGCCCTACACTATCTTTCTTTCTTCTCAGCACTGTACAGTTTTACTTCCATAAACGCAACAACAACAATGTTCCTCTCCTCCAGCATTATATGCAACCAATCGGAACCCCCTTCTGCATTCTCTATCATGCGCCTTGATTTGTCATCTCTTTCTTCGTTTACTCTCCGCCTATACATAAAATATTTGATTATCAATCAGAGTAAAAATGGACGATGACATTGCATCATCGCATCACATGGGATGGGATTAATACAAGTTTCTTATTTTTAAAAGAATCCAAATGCAAAGTAAGAGTATGACTAAACAAGGCTATAATTACTGTCACTCCACATAAAAATAGAAAACAGATGACTGCATATGACAATTCCATTATTTTTCCAACAGCCAACTATCCCTGCATGACCACATATGTATACACTTTAATATTCATAATTTCAATTTTTGCATTATCTCTTTTTCATGAGAGTAAAATACAGCCAATACATAAATCATTGTGTGCCAAGAACGGCAAACCTTACACATTAGATACAAGTACAGAAGCAGAGAGTCTGATAATCTGATTCAATTGTCAATTTCAAATATAGAAAATTCCATTTACAGCCTTACAGGATTAAACTAATTTTCTTCAAATCATATATTTTCCCTAAATGTATGACATATGTAATCTTAGAATGAATGATTAACTACTTTAATTCTCCTTTACGACTAAATCAATCATACTTTCAATTACACAAAACCCATGTTTCACTACCATCCTCAATAACTTCATTCTTTAAGAATTGTCATTCAGATAACCTGTATTGTTCAACAAGTGGATGGATAATGAAAGATTTATTAGCATCTCCTATGGGCTTGTTTGGTTCAGGAATTTTTTAGGAAAGAAGATTTTTTCGTAATAATTTATTTGTGTGTTAGTTTTGGATTAGAAATAACTATATGACTTATATAGTTAGATCATGTATTTCTATATAACTTTTTATCTTCCCTTTATTTCCAACCATCTAAATACAGATACTACATATAATAATAAATGTAACTCCTCCCCTTTGTACCCCCCTAACCATACAATCGCTAATGGAGATTTAGGAAGACAAATCTATAATTGTTATTTTCTACAAACTTGATAATTGATTTGTATAAATCCTCCTATGTTCACAACTAACCATTATAGCAAAAGATATCAGATTTCATAACCCAAATATATGACCCAATATAAAGACACACTCTAACCTTTGTTGGCTCAGCAGCTGGACGTGCATGAAATGAGTTCAAGGGCCGGTCAGCCTCATCCTGAGCTGAGCAGTCTGAACACAAGAAATGCTCCAATTTTTTGGCTTCATCAATGCTCATACCCATACAAGAGGGATGAAACCTGCAATGTGGTTAACAATGTCTTTAACGAGCAGAAAAAGAGAAGAACGTCTCTACAAATAGGCTGATCATAACTTTACAGTCACGGAACTTGGATGCCACTTAGGTGAAGTGTTCTAAAAGCAGCACTGCAAGAAAATAAATTTATCTTTTCATTTTCTTTATAAAGATAGCATCAATAAATACATATTCTTTTTTAGATTAACAAAATCACTATTTAGCAGAATGGTGATCGAAAAATATCACTAAAATGATGATGATGTTCCATTTGATGCAATGTGAATCTTTACATAGTGATGACAATATGACTCACACACTTGAAAGGAGAGCTTAAAACATTCTCATAATGAACTTCAACAAATAGTCAATCGCACAGTGGGCAATGCAATAGAAATCTATCAGGAAGCAGCAGCCTAAACAACTTATTTCAGTAAGTAGGAAGTAATTATCATACCAATCCTTGCATCCTTCACACTGTACCATGAGATCATCAGGGTTATAGGGCATCTCACACTTGCAATACCTTCAGAACAAATGAAGAAATAAATAATAAAATAAATGATTTAAATTTTTATAAAGGGAATATGGAAATAAAGAGAATAAATATTATAGTAATAATAAAAATAAATAAATAAATAAGATTCTAGCGGTTGAGCTGAAGAACTCACACAGCAACACGGTCAGGAGTGAACCCTCCAGTAGAGGCTTTGTACTCAAACCTAGAGAAGTAATCCTCTTGGCCCACATTCTCTAGCTTAGTATAGTTCTTGAAAGTATGCACAATGCATTTCCCTTCAATTGTGTGTGCACTCTGTGTATCATAATGATCTGACAGAAACAGTTCCTTCGCCCCATGGAACTGTCTACGCCCACCCACTGACTCCTCAGGGCGGTAGTACCACCTTACACGCACCTTCACACTGTTTCGGTGGTCAGCTTCTATCTTCTCAACTCTTGCAACATATGGTGGTTTATCAGTATCTGATGGTCTCATTAGTACACAATCCCCGGCTGAAAATTGAAATGGCATGTTTTAAAAATTACCATTTCTCTACAAAAAGGGAAAAAACTAACCAATGCAGTAACATTCAGCTACAAGTGGAACATACTAAAAAAAGTGCCACGATGGGTCTATGCAATTTTCGACGCAATTTTCACTATAGGTCATCCGGAAACAGTTTCTCTGTACTTTAGTACAGGGGTAAGGCTGCGTACATCCGACCCCCCTACCCCACAATAGGTGGGAGCCTTTGCGGCACTGGGTAATGAAGAAGAAGAAGATATGGTATGGTGGTTTATCAGTATCTGCTAGTCTCATTAGTACACAAACCCCAGCTGAAAATTAAAATGTACGAAGTATCTTTTAAAAACATACCAATGCTGTACCAGTAGGGAAAAAACTAACCAAAGCTCTAATATTAGTGAAAAGCGGATTACATTAAAATTAAAGTAATATTGAAATGCCATATATTACATTCTATACATAGAGCAATCGATGATACTTTCATGATTAATGCTTTCCATAAACGTAGAGTAACTTATCAACCTAATCTAAATGAATCATCTTTTTCATTTAGTCCTTATGATGTGCAGATAATACTCCGTATAATCTTATATGCGTATATCAAGAGAAAAACTCAAAAGCCATGAGTTGCAACACAGAACCAGGTAGAATTTTCGTAGATGAGGATTTGCATATGCCCCAATACAAACCAAAGTGCTCTCTTTAAGATCAAAAATCATAACCGAGAAGATAAGCTTAACTCGATTACAAGATATAAAGAGCCAGTCAGAGAGAGATAGAAAATAGCATCACAATTCATTACGTCTGACGATCTTGTTGGTGCCTTTGATGGTGTAAGAATCAAGGTCCTTCTTCCCAGGTTTGGTCTTGGCCATCACTGATCCTCTCACGGGTACAGAGACTGTGCTAGAATTTAAAGAGCAAAGAAGCTGAGCTGATTTGTGATTAGTACATTTAAGCAAAGATGAGCAGAAACCCTAGCTGCTGGAAAATGAGACAACATTTACACAACCTGAAGAGATTAAAAAAAATAAAAACTTACTATTAGCAATTACGCATCAACAAGCGACCAGGCGACTCCTAGTCTCCTCGATTTTTACAGGCGCTGTTTTTACTGCTGCTGTATTTCACCATGCCTAAAATTCTTGGTATACATATAAGTCGTAAGCAAATTATACATAAACCCATCTAGTTGCTGGTGTATATTAGCAGTTTGTTTGAAAAGGTGCATGATTTAATACCAAATCCCTCTTAATTGTCTGTGTGGATAGACAATGTACAATTTGTATAACACATTTTGTGTATATCAAGAATTGCCCTTACCATGTACCCGCACATATAGCTGAAGTGGTAAAGCAATTTGAACGACGAAAGATCGAAATCCGCAGCGAGCATGTAAAAGTTATGTGTGTTGGACTGACTCCGGTGGACACGAGTATAAGGTATATCATCGTTCAGATTGATTGACTCAACATGATTTATAATATCATATGTTATGTCGGGTCAGGGTTTTGGATCTTTGAATCGTCATTCAACCTCTGTGGA